GCCTGCAAGCTTCTTTCTAAGAGCCCACATGTTCATGTTATCTCACTAGGCCAATGTTTGGCTTAGTGTGTTATGCAAACCAGGCCATATCTGGTCCAAGATCACTAAAAAAATAGTGCTGTGAGTTGTAGGGTGTATGCCTGTGTCCCTTCTAATTCCTAGATCCAACATGAATTCGATGGCTGGAATAGTCCGGCAAGTTTCTTGGTAATGGCCTAAGTATGAGTCATTAAAGTAGCAAAGGGAAGCGGCTCTGTGCCAGAACACAAATGGGTGAGCCCCCACTCCCTCAAGTGGCTGGTGGTTAGAAAAACAAAAGCCAGAGTTGAGGTGTGTGAGAGCTAGAAGTTAGAAGCAGGCTGTGTAGCTGAGAGGCAGAGCCATGCCTGATTTCTGCTGGGATCCAAGGCTGTGGCTATGGGAGAAGCGAGACCCTCTTGGGGTGTCAGTGTTATGAGCCCCTTCATCATGGGCTCGGGTTGCATATATGTGTAAATAAGCCATATATCATAAAGAGACCACAGTCTACACTGTCCCTCATTCCAAGAAACCGAACCCTGGTTTCAAGAAGCTTAGAACCCCTGGGATCTCATGCCTCTCCAAGATTAGGGTGGCATGCAACAATATTAATCTAAGCTACCCCTAGTCATAGGGACGCGGGTGGCGCTGTGGCTTAAACCACAGAGCCTAGGGCTTGCCGATCAGAAGGTTGGTGGTTCGAATCCCCGCAACGGGGTGAGCTCCTGTTGCTTGGTCCCAGCTCCTGCCCACCTAGCAGTTCAAAAGCACGTCAAAGTGCAAGTAGATATATAGGTACCGCTCCAGTGGGAAAGTAAACGGCATTTCCGTGCCCTGCTCTGGTTCGCCAGAAGTGGCTTAGTCATGCTGGCCACATGACCCGGAAGCTGTACACTGGCTCCCTCGGCCAATAAAGCGAGATGAGCGCCGCAGCCCCAGAGTCGGTCACGACTGGACCTAATGGTCAGCGGTCCCTTTACCCCTAGTCATAAGTCCAATTGCAACATTCTTCACTGTATCACACTGGGTCACTTTCTTTAGCATAGTGATCACATGTGTGATTGCCCCCATTTTATCTCCGCAACTCCTCTGTGGACTAAATTCAGCTGAGAATCTGGCCTGTGGTCATCAGGTGAGAAGCACCACAGTGGAGCAGAGCCTTGATTTCAAGGCTTCCCTTCCTGTATTCAACATTCGGGTAGAGAGAGGTAACAACTCCCAGCACCCCTGATCATTGGCCTTGCTGGCTGGAGCTGATGGGAACTGGAGTCCAAGAGTATCTGGAGGGCATCACTGCAGTATAGTGGCCATCAAAGGCTACAGCTGCAATCCAAACCCCACTTACCTGGGAGTAAGCCTTACTGAATTCAATAGGATTTACTTCCAAGCAGGCATGGTTAGGGTCAGGGGTACCAGCTCCAGGGGCCTGGTCCTTTGGGGTTCCCCCTATATTTTCGGGGTGTTGTGGAGGGGAAGGAGGGTCGAAGGAGGGTCCTGCCAGTGGCAGCGACAAGAGGAGGCAGGGGAGGAACTGTTGGTCATTGAAATTGTGCAACCACTGAGCTTGGCTCCACCCCTGGCTCCTGTCTACATTCTGACATCACGCATGTGACGTTGCCCCCCCCAATAAATTGCCCTTGCAAGCTGGTTCCTCCGGTTAGCGCTGTGCTGTGAATGTCTAGGTTTTTGTTTTAAAAGCCAGCGAAAACTTGAGAGCGATACATAAGGCTAAAACCTTTACGAAGCCATTTCTGATAGGATTATTTCAGACAAGAGCAGGTATTTCTTAGCTGAGTTCAAAGGCCATTTGGGATGCACACACATGCGGGAGACGGTTCGTGTGACTCCGAGCGAAAAGTCACGGTGAGCAAATTTTAAATGTACGTCGGATCGTACAGAGTAATTTGGAGGTGAACTTCTCCTCCTATGACCTCACATAACTTCTCCGGCAATGCAGTTCATACGGAAGTCTAATAGCAAAAACCACATTTCCTTTCACAGTACAAGTAGCAGCAGGTCAAGGGAGCAGAGGGAGTAGGGTGTAAATAACTTGCAATGCTCACTGGCTTTTGACACTGATATTCCAAAGAGGTAATCTTTTTGCCTGGTGATTGCTTTTCAGTGATTTTTATAGCCATGTTTAAATCCCTTGGAGAGAACAATGATACGACAATAACTGATTCACCATTTCTCAGAGCTATCCTCTTTGGCTTTGAGGAGTTGTGGGTAAACCTCCGCAAAATACTTTTCAAGTGGTTCAAGACTTGGATCCATCACTTTTGGCTCCTGGTGGTGGTAGTGTTCACACCCAAATAATACACATACCCAATAATAGAGATAAATTGTAGAACAGGCTGAAAATATCTTTCACTTTAGAAATCACAGACTTGACGCTGCACTCCTTGAAGGCAACCAGTCTTGTACAGTAGTACCTTGGGTTGCAGACACTTCAGGTCACAGACGCTTCAGGTTACAGACTCCGCTAACCCAGAAATAGTACCTCGGGTTAAGAACTTTGCTTCAGGATGAGAACAGGAATTGTGTGGTGGCGGTGCCCCATTAGCTAAAGTGGTACCTCAGGTTAAGAACAGTTTCAGGTTAAGAACAAATTAAGTTCTTAACCCAAGGTACCACTGTATAGATACAAAGCATAGGAGATCAGGAATTCTTAGAAGAAAGCTTGCTTGCTTGCTTGCTTGCTTGCTTGGAGCCAACATAGAAGCAAGAGGCTACTAGCTCCTTAGGCTGATAAAAACGTTTTGCCGGCTAGTCACTTTTATAGGCTTATTTACAAGGCCGAAGGCGACACTTGCAAATTTTCAAACTGCACTTATCTTTTCATACCTTTGGCCACTCGGTTATCCCAAAGATGCTCTACAGCAGCTAAAAATGTTGACTCAGGGCACACTGGAAATATTTCCAGTGAAGCAATGAAATAAAGACTTATTTGGTTTTTTAAAAAAGAAACAATTTCAATGCAGAGCTAATCAAAATAGAGAGAAGCTGAGCCAGCACACAGGCAAATAGAGTTGGTCTAAGTAACTCATAATGCTAGATCAGAGCATATCTGTGCCCTTCCAAATGATCATAGAATCATAGAGTTGTAAGGGAGCACAAGGGCCATCTAGTCCAAACTCCTGCAATGCAGGAATCCACATTTTGCCCAATGTGGGGCTTGAACCCACAACTCTGTGATTAAGAGTCTCATGCTCCACCAACTGAGCTATCCCAGCTGATGAACAATAGCTCCATCATCCCTGACCCTGTTGTAAATATTGAAGTGCAGGAGCTCATCATGGCAGCCTCTATGACCACACCCCCAAGGGAGAGCCCAATTTATTAGGATCAACTGACAGTTGTATAAGCGTGAGCTGGCCAATGGTGGTGTAGAGATTTGCATGTTGGGCTCTTGCTGGGGAAACCTGAGTTCATAGCCCTGATCAGCTACGAAACTAATTCTGCAACCTCTGTCTGTGCCTACCCTGTGTCAAGGCAGGTATGTTTTCCTGCCCATCCCCCCTTGTAATCTTACAAATATTGCTCCTCCTCTAGAGTACTTGAGAATCACCTTTTCCTTTTACTCCTCCTGCCCCAAACACACTTCGGAAACATTTTTCAGGCTCTTTGGAGAAGCTCAGGGGCAGAGCACAGTGCTGTGGACGCTCAGGTTTCAAACGTGATCCATGCGGGAGGCACGTTCGCAACTCACAGCATTCGCAACCCACAGAACCGCATCTGCGCATGCGCAGGTTGTGAATCGGCACTTCTGCGCATGCGCAAAGCACGATTTAGTGCTTCTGTGCATGCGCGAGCACCGAAACCCGGAAGTAACCCATTCCGTTATTGCAAAGTATTGGAAGACACAAGATCTACCCACCTTGGAAGAATGGCAGATGAAGGTGATGGACTATATGGAACTGGCGGAAATGACTGGCAGAATCCGAGACCAGGGAGAAGAGTCGATGGAGGAAGATTGGAAAAAGTTTAAAGATTATTTACAGAAATATTGTAAAATTAATGAATGTTAGAATGATGTCGGATAGAAACTAAGTGGTCTGTAGCTGAAAGGTTACAAGGGAAGATGAAAAAAGGGTTTATTATGTAATATGTAAAAATCTAAAATTGCAACATTTTTATGATTAATGATTAGGATACTAAAAGAGGGGAGGGATCTGCTGAACAAAATAATTGAACTGGAATACAAAAAAGGGAGGTGTGAGGAGGTCGGGGAAACAAGCAAATGAAAGATAAGATATGGAAAGACTAATCTGTTTTTTAACTGTTTTTATTTTGTATTTTCATTTTCTATTTGTTTTCTCTTTTTTTCTTTCTTTTTTCGCTTATTTTTGTAATATGTTGAAACTTTAATAAATATCTTATTAAAAAAAAAAAAAGGAAGTAACCCATTCCGGTACTTCCAGGTTTCAGCGTGTCCATAACCTCAAAACACGCAACCTGAAGCATCTGTAACCCAAGGTATGACTGTACTAAATGCCTTTGAAAACACGCCGGGGAGCAGCTGCGCAGCACTGGATAGAAAAAGATGGCTACTCCACATACCAAAGACAATGTTCATTAAGAAACGGAAATTAATCTTCTCTGCGTATGGTGAAAAAACGACTATAATTGCCATCCCGCACCTTAAGTCAATGAATACTGCTCCAAACCATATCTGTTCCAATGCATCAACTGATTGTGACATGGGCTGCTGCTTCTACTACTAATTTTATGGAATGCTACAAATGGTAGCAGCAATGCCTTGGTATTTTTGCACCTAGTAGCAGTGGCAGTAGTAGTATACTGGGAGCAGCAGCTTCATACAATCCTGGTAACAGCAGAAACGTAGCAGTAGCAGGACACCGCTGCAACTACAGCAACAATTATTTATTTCATCAAATGCAACAATTATTTATTTCATCAAATGTATATGGTTGTATACCATAAGCTGCACTGAACACAGAAGCGGTTCAGTCCCCAGAGCCATGCTGATAAGCAACGAGGTAATAAAATAATATTGGGGGAAGCAAGATTTCTTTTAACGACAACAACAAAGATACTGTAGGTCATACTTTGAAAGCCTTCTCTGTATTGCCTTCGCCTTGGTGTCGTCAGACACAGAAAATCCCTCTCAGGGTTCCCCATCACAAGGCCTGTCAGTGAGGGAGGGAGGGTCTCTGAAGACTTCTGTAATTTGCTCCAGGGGTTACACTCAGATTTAGGCGATGAAAAGGGTAATCTGTGAAAGGGACAGAGAGAGAGCACAGGGAGAGGAACTAATTCTCTCTTTATTTTCGAGAGGAAATTTGCAGCCCATAACTGTTCGATCAGAATACAAGTGGGGTCGTCCGAATCGCTAGCAACATCACAGAGGGACCTCCCCCCCCCCCCACAACCAGCAGTTGGTTTCCACAGATTATCTCGTCTAAATTTTCAAAAGGGATTACAATCCCATTAAAGGACAAGCGCCTTTGGAGCTAATTAATTTCCAGCGAATCGCTTGCAACGCTAGAGCAAGCAGTCGATTAAATATTAATATGGGATACCGGGGTCACTTTTTGTTTTGCAACCCTTGAAACCCTGTAAGTATATCGAGATCTAATTCAAGCAAGAGTCGCACAGTGACGGGAAATAAAAGGAGACAGAGAGCCCCAAAGCCCTTGCCCACGAATGAGTTAACCACAAGTCTTCCCTCACCCCAGCATCTAAATTTTAATTCTATTATCAAACTAACGTGCGTTAAAAAAAGTTTCATGCTGCTATTTTTAAAAAATAAAAATAAAAACATTCCCCCGCTTTCATATACGCATAAAACATCAGTCTATATGGTAGATCTGCAACATCAAGGAAAAGCCCCATACTACCCCCTAGTGATCAAAGTTTGGTGACCTCCAAATAACACAAAACACAATAAGTGGACTTTAGATCACAAGAACAAAAAAATTGCCCAGAAGCAAAGCAAGTCACTGCTGGCATTCTTTACTTAGAATGCTTTTCATGATAGAAGAAAAAGAGATGAAGGGCGGGGGGTGCTAGCTGCGAGAGGCTGAGGTTTCCTGTTCCTTGGTCTGATTCCTCCATCTTACAAACCCAGCTAGTAGGGAAATATTTATATATTCAGAAGAAATAAACAACAACAAAAAGAGAATTCTGTGTGATTGCTTTGGGGCAAGTGTCCAGAACAAGGCAAATGCATAAGAGGGCATCTCCCTCTTCAAAGGTCCTAACCAAATGTCCCACTTTCATCCCTTAGGTACCAGGCTGAGAGCTCGTTTCTACGGGTACCAGAATCCTTTTCCTTTTCTGGGCAATGCCATTTCAAGCCACAGGTGAATGCATCCCTTCTTGCACATGGAAAAGTGACCTGTCGAAGGAAAGGGTTCTGCACAGCCGTCTTCTCTTTTCATTTCATTCTGCGAGGGAACGTCCAAACACGTAACTTTCCCCTTGCAGCCTAAAATAGCTCAGTCAGGTGAGACGGAGCACACAGAACAAAGAAATGAATTTCATCCATGGGTCCCTTTTTGGAATCTCGAGCCGGCAAACAGAACCTGTAACAAAATGTGAGCTCACACCCTAAGTCGAGCATTACTGTTCATGCTACCAACCAGCCCAGCAATGGCATCTTCCGATATGTGGTAGGAGAGATGCTAAAAAAAATTCTTTATTGTGGCCAAATTATTCTGTCGCTCAATATCATATAGGCACTGTCTAATTAAATTATTCAGATAGTACATGGGTAGATGAGCCTGGAAAGCCCAGGACACAAATACTAAGCCTCCTTATGTATATGTTGCTCTAGGAAGCTTAGTTTGGTCAAAATCAGGTATACACTTCCAGAGATAATACTGAATACATTACTTCTGGTAAATGAGTCATCATAGAGGGCTGTGAAAATTTGCGTTCCGGGCTTTTTAGACTCGTCGACCCATGTACTCTCTGAAACCAAAGGGGCAGATGTGAAACATATTGCCATTATTTCCAGCTCTCCTTCTACACTATATAAGCTGGAAGCGGATCAAATGGGATGCGTCACTCTCCCTTGTTCTGTTTCTCCTTTCCAACTGACACCCAACTTCATGTGGCTCATGGAAGTCATTGAGCATGTTCAAACTGAGCTACTGGGGACGGGTTTGCCATCATTTTTCTTTGCTCTGGTTTTTTGAAATGTTTTCTGCATCTGCATATCTCAGGGTAAACCTCAGTTGCCCCCTTTGGGCTCCATTCCCATCGAGTTCACTGTTAGGAGGAGCGAGTGTATATTCCGCTTTACAGAACTTCTGTCAGTTGGTTTTGCTTGTTAATTTGTTTTGGTTTTGCAGCACAATCGCAAGCAAGTCTTCTCCGAATTACGTTCCATTTAGTTCAGCAGGGCTTGTTCCCAGGTAAGTGGATAGAGGATTGTTGCTTAACATGTGTAGACTTAGAATGCACATCCATTGAAATTAAATGAGAAAACAAGCAAAGGGATTGAACTATAAGAGCGTGTGCATGTATGTTGCGTGGATGCCTGATTACCGTCTTCCAAAGCAACTACTCTATTCCGAACTTAAAAAATGGAAAGTGTAACGCTGGTGGTCAACAAAAGAGGTTTAAAGACTGTCTCAAGGCAAATCTTTAAAAATGTAGAATAAACACCAACTATTGGGAAACACTTGCCTGTGAGTGCTCCAGTCGGAGAACAGCCTTTACCAAAGGTGTCATGGACTTTGAAGATACTCAAACTCAGGACACAAGGGAGAAATGTGCTAAGAGGAAGGCACGCTTGGCAAATCCACACCGTGATCAACTCCTGCCTGGAAACCAATGTCCCCACTGTGGAAGGACGTGTGGATCCAGAATTGGCCTCCACGGTCACTTGCAGACTCATTGTTAAAACCGTGTTTATGGAAGACAACCTTACTCGGCTATGAGTGATCTCCAAAGAAGAAGAAGATTTATTTGTGTACAAAATGGAGTCAATATACAGCCCCTCCTCACAGAGATAAACAGAGCGATCCTAACTGTGTTAAAATTCAATAGTTTGTACTCCTACTATGAGTGTTTAGAATTAAATTAGAGATTAAGGGAAGAGAACTGCAACTTGAAGAATTCTTAGGGTACATGTGTGATCTCTGTCACGCTTTTTTAAGGAATGCCCAATAGCTCCCCCAAAGGCAAACTGAGCACAATATTTCCCCAGGGACAGGCATCAAAGAATAGGAGCATTCCCTGTTCAACAGACACAGCTGGAGCATATGCAAAAGTCACCTTGAAGGTCTGTTCCTCAGGTATATAAAAGGTGACTTTTGCATATGCTCCAGCTGTGTCTTTTGAACAGGGAATGGCCTATAGTCATGTATGATGGGAATTGTCCAGGAAGTCGGAGTCCACCATGTTGGCTGGGGTGGATGGGAGGTGAGGTTCAAGCCCATCTGGAGGTCCAAAGATTTCCTACTCCTGGTCTTTATTAATAGCAATCATAGAACTTATATCCTGCCCTTCCTCCCCGAGGAGCCGATGGTAGCAAGCACACTCACTTTTTTTAAAAAACAACAACAACCAGAATTCTGAAAACAGTTACAGTAATAAAAAAAATCATTTCATTCACTCATCTCAGGTTGCCAGGATCAGTAGCCTTCAACCACTAATTTGTAAACAGGAATGTTCTCAAATGCCTCCTGAAAGTTAAGAAGGATGGAGACAGACATATTTCGCCAGGGAGAGTATTCTACAAATAGGGAACCACCACTGTAAAGGTGCTGTCATGAGTCAACAGCAACCAGGCAGCCCCCAGTTGTGGCACCTACGAAAAGGTCTCACCTGCCAACATCTCAGTCTGTCAATATTAGGGAAAGTGTTCTTTTAGGTACTTGGGTCCCAAGCCATTTACGGCTTTATATGCTAGTGCTAACACTTTGGATTATGCCCAGTTGATCACTGGCAGTCAGTGCAGTGCTTTGGGGCCAGTGACAGATCCATTGGGCTGTCCCACTTACCTTACCTAGCCGCTGCATCCTGCACTAGCCGCAGTTTCTGGGCCTTCAAGGGCAGTGCCACACAGAGAGTATTTCTCTGAAGCATGGGTTGTCAACCAGTGTACCATGACACCCTGGGAAGACTTGAGGAATGTTTAGGACAGCCCCATGGGTTTGTCCTTTCATTAACTTGCAGCCCATATCTTCCTGCATTGTCCCCCTCTCTCTCCCCAGCAGACAACCGTCCTTGAGTCCTCCTCCTCCTCCTTGCTGGAGGAGATTCCTAGGTTCCCAGATTCCTAGTCTCCCCCTGCTCTCCATATCGGGCGCACTTACATAGAGGCTTCTTCCACAAGTTCAGGGCAAGACAGAGTGCAACCACATCCCACAGGGGAGCCACAGAAAGAATGTGGTTGGTCAAGGAAGCTGTGGACTCCCAAAAGCTGAAAACCACTGCATTAGAGCATGGACAGTTGAGGCCTAGCTATCCTAGTCCACGAATGTCCATAGCAAACCATCCAAAGCTGAGCATGATCATTCCTAGCTACAGAAGCTGCTTGAGACTCTAATGACAAGCTGGGATCCAGGAGTCCTCCCAGATTATGACCCTGTTTCTTTGAAGGGAGTGCAGCCCCTCTTAGAATGGGCTATACACCTAATTCCCAGACACAGGAACCATCCAGCCACAGCACTTGTACCTTATCAAGATCGAGCCTCAATTTATTGAAACCCATCCTGTTCAAGGGAACTGGGAAGGGAAACTCCCCAAGGATGGGGAAGAGGGGTTCTAAGGCAGTCCTAGGGCTCATGGTTTGAGCTGGTGCTAAAAACTGTCCCACTCAAAGACCTTTCCATAAATGTGCATGTAGAATTAACAACATATTTTAGGATGATTATGTTAAGTGGCACCCAAAAGGTCCGTATTCTGCTCAGACATGTTCCACATGAATATTTCTGTATTTATGAAGACACCATGATTATACTTAGATTTGATTCATTTTCCTAATTAAGCCCCTTGAAATTCATTTCAGCATGATCCTAAAAAGATTTCACTCAGAAGTAAATCCCACTTGGTTCAGTGAGGTTTTTTGGTCCATAGTTTTAGAATTCCTGCTGTGTATCCTGATCCCATGTTTTCTTTTCTTGGAAGTAAGTCCCACTAGGCTCAATGCAACACAGAGTATCATGCCCTGGACAGGTGCATTGCAGATCTTTGTTTTTAAAAAAGAAACAATAAATAAATGCAAATGATACAAACGAAATATGCATTTTTGATATCTATACTCCACCTCCAGAAATCACCCGAGAGAGAGAATTTTAAACTAGTTACCATGTCCTTGTGTCTATATTTATTTTGATTTTTACCCTGTTTAAATTTAATATGAATGTGTCCTTAGGGCTGTTCTTGATAATTAAGCTAACATACTTTACTCCCTCTGGCCTGCATTAAAACACTAAAAATGAACATGAGACATCTTCTTGATCATGCTAAAATTTCCAAATTTCCATTAAGCCTTTCATCCATGGAGTCAGAGTTAGTTGCTGACCTGATATAGATTAGCATGGCAGAGTTGCTCCCATGTTCTAAAGCCCTTATTGAAAATGGGAATACAATCGTACCTTGGAAGTTGAACAGAATACGTTCCGGAAGTCGGTTTGATTTCCAAAACATTCAGAAACCAAAGCACGGCTTCTGATTGGCTGCAGGAATCTCCTGCAGCCAATCAGAAGCTGCACCAGACGTTTGGCTTCCGAAAATCCTTCGAAAACCGGAACACTCACTTCCGGTTTTCGATCGTTTGGGAGCCGAAATGTAGGAGTTCCAAGGCGTCCAGCAACCAAGGTACGACTGTAATTGGATTTATAGTTGTAGGTCTGCCCTCATCCTATATATAATCACTTATCTAGAAAATAGAAGCTAGTCCATTTCTGTTAGAGTGACTAGAGTTCTGTCCCAACAACTTCAGTAAACTTCCGCTCAGCCTGATCTCACCTACCATCCTTCTTACAACCAGTCCTTGTCTTAGTCTCAGTGTTGCTCTTGTAGAACTCAGCAAGGAGGGGAATGGAGACTAAAGTAAAATTAGTTGGCTCCACCTGTCATTGTCTCTGGTGCCTCCTTCTGTTGGTCTTCCAGCATTTAAGGCTCCTGGAACCAATTGGCCGATTACCATAAGTCTGGAACTACCCGGACACAGTTGGTATTCTGGCCTCGTAAACAACATCCGGGTGGAAAACGCTGAAAATCCGGATGTATGGCAGTGTTGTTTTTGGTGAATGTCATTAAGAATTGCTCAACAACTTTTGTGTCCGGATTTTCACTTTGTGAAATATGCCAACCCTAAACATCGATGTATGAATCAAGAGTGTACAAGAGCTACTGTAGTACACGGCTAAGAGTGTGGAAAATCCTGTGTTCAAATTACACCGTAGTCATGAACTCACCTTTAGCAAACCTCTGTCCTCAGAACCTCAGTCCCCCCCCCAAGATATGAAAATAATATGCTGGCCCTTACAGGCTTTTCTTTGCTTTTTTTTACAGGCTGTATATGAAGGTTACATTTTCAGGGACAATCCCGGATTTACAGAAACCATCCCAGTTTCTGATTTAATCATGGAATATCCTTCTTTTCCTTAGGACATCCCTATTTTCATCAGAGAAATGTTGGAGGGTATAGAGTTATGCAACCCCCCGAGCCAAGGAGATAAGTACAGTAACTTTACAACCTTTAGAAGACATCTGAAGGTAGCCCTTTATAGGAAGCTTTTGAATGTTTAATAATAATAATAATAATAATACATTTTATTTGTACCCCGCCCTTCCCGGCTGGAGCTAGGCTCAGAGCGGCTAACATCATATAAATAATACAATAATGTTTTATTATGTTTTTATATATGTTGGAAGCTGCCCAGAGTGGCTGGGGAAACCCAGCCAGATGGGCAGGGTATTATTATTATTATTATTATTATTATTATTATTAAATAGGATGTCCCTATTTTCATCAGAGAAATGTTGGAGGGTATGGATAAAGGTTATCCATCTGGGTGACCGAGGCTGATTCAGTTCCCAAACCAGGTCTGAATTGTAGTGGATCTAAAGGTAAAGGTAAAGGGACCCCTGACCATTAGGTCCAGTCGCAAACGACTCTGGGGTTGCGGCGCTCATCTCGCTTTATTGGCTGAGGGAGCTGGTGTACAGCTTCCGGGTCATGTGGCCAGCATGACTAAGCCGCTTCTGGCGAACCAGAGCAGCGCACGGAAACGCCATTTACCTTCCTGCCGGAGTGGTACCTATTTATCTACTTGCACTTTGATGTGCTTTTGAACTGCTAGGTTGGCAGGAGCTGGGACCAAGCAACGTGAGCTCACGGGATTCAAACCGCCGACCTTCTGATTGGCAAGCCCTAGGCTCTGTGGATCTAGATGGCACTTATTTCTACCTTAGGTCTCACCAATCCTAGTCCAATCAGTACACCACACTAATTCCTCCCAGTTTTGGTTGGGGAATGCCTGCAGGTTCTACTTAAGTCACAGCACTGTGGGGGTCTGCAAAGCTGCAGATGCCAAAGTGACCTCATTAATGTATCAATTAAAGGCACACATTTAGCGGTTCCCAATTTTGAGGTGTAAGACATTAAACATTAGAAATAAGCCTGTCTGAAATCAGCAGAACTTACTTCCTTGCCAGCCATATTTACAATTGCAGCTTCAAGCTCCCTTCCAGCGATATATGCAAGAGAAGATTGTGTGCACCCGCAGGGTTGTAAGTGCGCCACAAATCAGTGGCACCCAGGAATTTGGTGGTGTGCACAGAATTCTGACCACAAGCTTGGCAGCAATTTTGCAAACTCCTGAGCTGCTTGCCTGAAGGCAGTTAACTCGTCTGATCCAGTTCTGAAAGGTAGCTGGTCTTTAAAAGACTCACAGCAAAATCATATACAGTATACATGGATACTCAGAAGGAAGTCCCACTGAGTTCAATGGAATTTACTTGCAAGTAAGTGGATCTAGGGCTGATGCCTCAAACTCATTTAGCACTGCAAGCCTCAAGGAAACTAACTGATTCTGTGTTGCAGAAGCATTTTTTTTGCTACAAGTTGAAAGCGAACAAAAGTAAAATTTGCAGGTTCTTTTTCACGTTATCAACAAAGTTTATACAATCTTTGAAGCTTTGTCCTTATGGTGTGTTATGGCAAAGGCTTCCAATCTCTTGTTTTGTATGCAGATAAAAATATGTTTGTTTATATAACAACCCCACCCCAAAAAAAAATCACTTTGGCATTAATTAGGCTTTTAGTTTTCCTCTCTAAATTCTATTTTAACCACATTTGATGGGTTTGTGTGTTTGTGTGTGTGTGTGGATAGATAGATAGATAGATAGATAGATGATAGATAGATAGATGATAGATAGATAGATAGACAGATAGATAGATAGATGATAGATACGTATTGATATGATGGTGATGATGCACTAAAAGATATGTGTGTGTGTACATATACATACTTACATATATATACATATATATATGCTTTGTTTAGAGGCGTAATAAAAAAAATGGCCATGTAAATTGGAAATTAGTTTTTGGGGTTTTTTAATGCAAAATGAAGCTGACAGGGCTCTTCTATTACTGGGGTCTTATTAGGGAAAAAATTCTCTGACATCTGTTTATCCCCTGCAGCCAACCTTGTATTCAGAATACAGTAATTGATTCACCGCAGCCACCTGGGATCTCACTGGCTCACTTTTTCCACGCCGCACTACGCAGGTATCTCGGCAGCTAGCTCCGAATGCACATCTGCATCGTTATCTCCTGGTGAACTGTGACCCTAAACACTTTGGAGGCGCAGATGAAAGTGCTTCCTCAACCCTCCAGTGCTAGGGGTATAGGGAGTTCTGCAGCCTGGCAATTCACCCAGGACGCCCAATCAGAATCATCCCCTTTGAAGCCCTTCTCAGCTGGGAGACCATGAATGATTCATAGCTTCTCTTCTGCACAGACTAAAGGAAGGAAGAGCAAAGCTGGCGTCTATTATTCAGGACCGCATCCTCAATAAGCCTCCATGTTCAGCAAATTGCTACAACGTTTTCTGCTTAGTCCTCACCTGTACACAGCCTCTCCTTTTGTGCGCACCACCGCCTGCCCCCCCTTTCCACCAACCCCCTCCCCGTTTTAACAGAGATAGGCTAATTGTTCAAAAGGACGCTTTTACTCGCTGGCAATACAACAAACGGAAAATTAAGAGCAACTGTAAACTAATTGGGGGCGGGGAAGCCGATGCCAAGGAAGACCACAAGCTCTTTTGCTTTGAGATGACGGGGATAATGACTTGGGCGTATCGTAATTTCCATTTTAAAACCAAAGCTGTCATGGAAGGAGGTGCGGTGCTTTTGCATTCTTCCAGAAATCTACTTTAGCTTTGATTTTTCCAGCGGATATCTGCCTTCTCTGCTCTGCGTCTTCTTTTCCCCCCTTCCTTTTTCTTTTACAACAGCGCTGTACTTTCAGCTCTACAAAAACACTGGTGGCTGCAACATCCTCCTTACTAATGCATATCTGCAATATATTCACCAAGGCCATAAAATGCAAAAAAGAAAAAGAAAAAAAAAGAGGTTTCAGGCCAGTGGTTCCCAAACTTTCTTCTATCCCCACAGACCACTTGAAAATTGCTGAGGGTCTTGGTGGGCCGCTTAATTTTTTTCTCCTGCCTGTTGAAGCAATTGCATTGTGAGGCGCTAGATGCTAGATGGTTCTTTGATTGTATTTTGATTCCTTCTTTTGTTTCTCATCTGTTGTCTTTTGTTGCATTCTGACCAAATTCTGTAGAGCTTGAGTTGCAATGCAGTAGAATGCAAGGTGAGAAGCAGTGGAGGCCATGGAAAAACAATTAAAAATAAATATGAATATGTAATGTGATAGACGTGGCACCTCCCATCTTCATGCACAAATCCACGGGTATTCCGGAGGACTGCCTGGATGAAGCTCGCAAGCCAGTTTTGGAAACCTTCTTTTATTTATTTTTATTTTTTTTAAAAAAATTATGAGATATTTATTAAAGTTTCAAAAATAAAAAAGAAGTTACAATAGTAATAATAAGAACAAGAAAAAAGGGGGGAAAGAATAAAAAAGAAAGAAGAGAATACAAAATACAAAAAAGTAAAACCAATTAAAAACAAATCAATCTTTCCATATCTTGTCTTTCATTCACTTGTTTCCCTGACCTCCTCACACCTCCCCTTTTTTGTATTCCAGTTCAGTAATTACTTTCAGTAGCATTACTACTAAAAACCCCTTAGCTTCATTCCAACATCATTCTAACATTCATTAATTTTACAGTATTTCTGTAGATAGTCTTTAAATTTCTTCCAGTCTTCTTCCACCGACTCTTCTCCCTGGTCTCGGATTCTGCCAGTCATTTCCGCCAGTTCCATATAGTCCATCACCTTCATCTGCCATTCTTCCAGGGTAGGTAGATCTTGTGTCTTCCAGTACTTTGCAATAAGAATGCTTGCTGCTGTTGTAGCATACATAAAGAAAGTTCTATCCTTCTTTGGCACCAGTTGGCCGACTATGCCCAGGAGAAAGGCCTCTGGTTTCTTCAGGAAGGTATATTTAAATACCTTTTTCATTTCATTATAGATCATCTCCCAGAAAGCCTTGGAAACCTTCTTTTAGGCCAAGTTTGCAAAGACTCTGCCTGTAAGTGGCCATAAGCAATCATTACAAGGTGGGCCTCAATTATTATCCCCCTAATGCAGATAGGTGGAGCAAAGACTGGCAACAGTAGCTCACCTAAGGCCATCTAGGTGAGAGTTGAACTGGAGATGTCCTAAGTCACAGTCAGAGGGAGATTTAGGGCAGTCAAGCCTAGGGGGCATCACAATTATGATGCAGTGAATTGAGCAGAACAGAAGGAGAAGGCAGGAGCACTGACTTTCAGCCTCACACAGGGCTCCGCTGAAATTTGAAAGACCCAAATCCTCCCCTGTCACAGTTCGGACTCTTGGTTCCTGTACACAGCAAGTTGTGTCAGATCCGGCACAGCATAAGATGTAAAAAGGATATACCGTATTTTTCGCTCTATAGGACGCACCCGACCATAGGACGCACCTAGTTTTAGAGGGGGAGAACAAGTAAAAAAAATTCTCTCCCTCTCTGAGCAGTGCCCCTTCAGCGAAGCGGCAGGAGAAATGGAGCCCCTTCCATTTCTCCTCCCGCTTCGCTGAAGGGGCGCTGCGCAGAGAGGGAAAGCTGTGCAGCGCCTCTCCAGCGAAGCGAAGCCAGGAGAGCAAGAGGGATCGGTGCACACCGATCCCTTTTGCTCTCCTGGCTTCAGCGAAAGCAACCCGAAGCCTCTGGAGCGCAGGGGGAACACTCCCTCTGCCCTTCGGAGGCTTTGCGTTGCTTTCGCTGAAGCCATGGAACCTGCATTCACTCCATAAGACACACACATTTCCCCTTAATTTTTGGAGGAGAAAAAGTGTGTCTTATAGAGCAAAAAACACAGTAATGGGTGGGGAGAGGAAAGTACAGAATACAGAAGCTAAAATACACACATGCATCATTTTATTTGTAGGTGGCCTTTGTACAGCTAAAACCATGCTCAAGGCCATAGGTACCAACTCCCTGGGGCCCTGGGTGCCCGAGCACCCACAAAATTCCCCATGAAGCGGCTGGGCAGCCACAAATTTCAGTGCCATGCACACTGCATGGCACCCACGGCCCCGGCTACCCATGGTCCCAGGGCCAAGCTAGCACTCCTCTCAAGGCAGCCTACAAAATTATATATATATATATATATATATATATATATATATATATATATATATATATATATATATATATATAAAATTGCAAACATAAGTAGTCATAAATATTTTTTTAAAAAAACCAAAAGGTATACAACCAAATTGAAACATTTTCCACATAGATCATAACATCTAAAATCAAATACTGTACAAAAAGTTAATATCTTTAACAACAAACAGCAACAACAACAACAACAACAGCAACAACAAATCCCCCTAAACAATACCCCAGCCCAAGAGTCTGTTCAGCAGCCTCAGCTTATGTAGCTGGAGTCAGTCAGGGGCCTGCCCTTCCAAGTTAGATGGGAAAAGGCCTTCAAGGCAGGGAGCAGCTTTTCCAGGACTCACAATGCCTTTCAGCTTCTCTTCAATACAGTGGTACCTCGGGTTAAGAACTTAATTCATTCTGGAGGTCCATTCTTAACCTGAAACTGTTCTTAACCTGAGGTACCACTTTAGCACAATTTCTGTTCTCATCCTGAAGTAAAGTTTGTTAACGGAGAAATCTGAGGGCTCCCTTGTACAAGGAAAACAAGGACACCAGCCAGGAATACCAGAGCAAACAGCAGCCAGTAGGCTTGGTCTTTATTGAAGACTGTCGCGAGAGGACTCCAACCTCCTACCAGGTGAAACAAGATGGAAAGAGAACCAAAACTTTTAGCTTTAGCTGCTAATCCCCATGCTACAATCCCCCAAACTACATCACTAATACACCATGGTTACATCATGAAAAGGGAGGTCTGGTGGCAGTAATCTGAGCATCCTGGATCCTGCCCCATGCCTCGCCTTGCCCTCCATCAAACACCCATTATGTGTAACAAAAGAGATATTTACATTTCCCTGCTTCCCAGCCAAGTTAATCACACCCTTTTGTCTTCATCTGGGTTTGTTATTTCTGGAATGGCTACCTGTCTGGCACTCAGGTATCAGGATGCCAGGTATTATCACTCAGGCAGAGGGGCTGCGGAGTAGCTGAGCTGACATGTCTATATGAATTTCTGAAGGTTTCCCAGTGAGACAGTACCCAGATATATTTGTCAGTGAATTGTTACATTTGGTATTGTGCAGCAGAGGCCCTTCGAATAGATAGGAAGAAACTGTGGTGAAGTGTTTTGTGGGGACAAATCACAAAAGTCACAAAAGGGATTTGCTGATTTTGGTAGTGGGCTGCATGTGCATGATATCTGCTGGAGGGGCAACCCCCCCCCCAACCTATACATAAATCCCTGCAACAAGTTCTTAACCCAAGGTACTATTTCTGGGTTAGCAGAGTCTGTAACCTGAAGTGTCTGTAAACCGAGGTACCACTGTATAAGGGAAAGGATACGGAAGGCTTTTTAGTACACCAGTGGGCATGGAGTTGGTCAAGCAAAGATATGCTGGAGGTTAATAAAATTATGAAAGAGACAGAGAGCCTTTTCTTCCCTCCTCCTCTCATAATTCTGAAACTCAGAGCCTTCCAGTGATGTTGTCTAGCGGGAGCTTGAGGGCAAACAAGAGGAAGTTCTTTACAAACACATAATTAACTTATGACAATTTGCACAAGACGTGCCATTGACTTAAATAGCTTTAAACATGTAAAAGACAAATTCATGGGAAAATCAGCCCGTCAACAGCTATTAGGCACAGTAAACAGAGTCAGTGGCAGTATATACCCCTGAGCACCAGCTTCTGGAGGTAGAGGGTGGAGAAGATGGAATTGGGGTGGCCACTCACAGACCCTCCAAGTCTTCCTATTTTCCAGGGATGTCCCTGATTTAGAGAAGCCATCCCAGTTTAGGATTTGATCTCAGAATGTCTCACTTTTCCTTAGGATGTCCCTGTTTTCATCAGAGAAATATTGGAAGGTATAGAGTTATCCAACCCCTGAGCCGTCTGAAGGCAACTCTGTATAGGAAAGTTTTTTAGTGTTTAATGTTTTATTATGTTTTTATATATGTTGAGAGCTGCTCAGAGTGGCTGGGACAACCCAGTAAGATGTGTGGGGTATAAATAGTAAAATTATCATTATAGAATGGGACGTCCCTATTTTCATTGGAGAAATGTTGGAGGGTATAGACTCTTTTCAAAGTGCTGCTTGTGAACCTCAAGGCGCTTCTGGTCGGTTGCTTTTGGAGAGGATGACCCATGAGTTAATCAAACAAGGCAGTTTTCCCTTAATGTTTTTATTTTATTTATCTCTGTGTTACATTTATATCCCACTCATGCACCGTGGTTTGTAGCCTCATGTTCACAAGTCATGCTGCAAATTCAGATATAATCCTTTTCATTACTCGAGGATTCCGCCACCCACCATTTGTTCACCGTGTGACTTCATCAGAAGTTTTTAAGCAGAGTGTAGCCCACTTATGGGGGATGCTGGACCAGCAGATTTCAGCCGGGGGTCAGGCTAGATGGCCCTTGCAGTACATCTATGCTTCCATCATTTTTTTTTATGATCACTACTGAAGACCATGGAAATAACCATTTTTAGTGTTTGCAAATACAGCGGTACCTCGGGTTACATACGCTTCAGGTTACAGATGCTTCAGGTTACAGACTCCGCTAACCCAGAAATAGTGCTTCGGGTTAAGAACTTTGCTTCAGGATGAGAACAGAAATTGTGCTGCGGCGGCACGGCAGCAGCAGGAGGCCCCATTAGCTAAAGTGGTGCTTCAGGTTAAGAACAGTTTCAGGTTAAGAACAGACCTGCGGAACGAATTAAGTACTTATCCCGAGGTACCACTGTAACTTATTAATGTTCTTCAGTGTTGCAGTTTGCATGCCCAAACCTAATGTATTATTTAGAATCATAGAATTGTAAAGTTGGAAGGGACCCTGAGGATCAGCTAGTCCAGGGCTGTCCAACAGGTCGATCACAACCTACTTGTCGATCGCAGAACCCTACCCCCCCCCAAAAAAACACCTTTGTCAGCTCAACAACTTTGATGAAGCTTTCCCCCCAAAAGATCAACATCTCTGGTCAATCCAATAGGTAGATCACTGCCAGATTTTTTTATAGTGGTTGTAGTCACAGTCTCTTGGAAGTTGGACAGCCCTGAATTCTAGTCCAAGACTCTGTGATGCAGGAATATGCAGCCATCCCATACAAAGATCAAATCTGCAACCTTGACGTTATCAGCACCACGCTCTCACCAGCCTAGCTATCCAGCTCTCCACAGTAAGAGATTTTTATGCCCACAATCCAAGTATTCATTCATAATTAAACATATATTTTGGGGGGGACAAGGAGAGCACGTGATAGAATTGTATCGGGTATTATCTCCGACCTAACCAGGAAACAGCGATATCTGCTTTTGGAACATTTTTTTTATATTCTTGAGTCAAGTGCAAGGACGGCCACTTCTTATAAAGGTAAGGAACACTTCATGCAACACCATTTTAGGTGTGTTCCTGTGATGTTTTCGGAGTAGAAATAGAAAAGCAATGTGTGAATGCTGCCAATGTACTAACAAAGCACCATTCAGGGGCACTCAGTAGGGAGCCAGAATTGACCGCAGCTCCCTTTTGAGGGTACACTGGGTAGAAATCAAGTTTTGCTGCCGTGTAATGTGTGCAACACCACCAATGAATACTTTGATACTTGGGATATGTAACATCAGCGACATGCCCTCTATGTCGAACATGCAATAGCATTTTCAAGTCATCTTTTTGTAACTAATTCACACAGGTAAAAAAGCATAAAGGACTCCTGGACGGTTGAGTCCAGTCAAAGGCGACTATGGGGTTGCGGCACTCACCTCACTATCAGGCCAAGGGAGCCGGCGTTTGGTGTGCTTTTGAACTGCTAGGTTGGCAGGAGCTGGGACATAACAACGGGAGCTCACCCTGTTGCGGGGATTTGACCCGCCGACCTTCTGATCAGCACGCCCAAGAGGCTCAGTGGTTTAGACCACAGAACCACACTCATTCCACACAGCAGGGTGGGGGAAGCTAAACTCCACAATATTTCAGTGATACCATATTTTCCCACTACAGTGGTACCTCAGGTTACATACGCTTCAGGTTACATACACTTCAGGTTACAGAGTCCGCTAACCCAGAAATAGTACCTCGGGTTAAGAACTTTGCTTCAGGATGAGAACAGAAATCGTGCTTCGGTGGCACAGCGGCAGCAGGAGGCCCCATTAGCTAAAGTGGTGCTTCAGGTTAAGAACAGTTTCAGGTTAAGAACAGACCTCCAGAACGAATTAAGTACTTAACCCGAGGTACCACTGTATTCAAAATGGCTTTTTGTGTTGGGGGTGGGGGGAAGATACAGTTGTCTAGCATGCTTGCCTTCCCATCTGCCCCAGGAGCAGTTTGTCATGCAGACTGAAGTGTGGTTTCACAGCCATTATAGGCACCAAAGACAAGCGTCACAACTTGCCTCTTCCCATGTTCTGACACTTATCCCAGTGTTGAGCTTCTAAAGTGGACACTTGCCCACACTAGCCAGACCCAAGACAACCACTTCCAGCCCAGGAGCTTCATTCCTTTATGAACAGTCTTTTGTGGGCTTCATGCCGGGGTAAGGAAGGTCAGAGGCAAAAATGGCATGGTTCAAGGACAAAATTCTGGCCAAGCAAAAGCCGTGGAGGAGAGTGTAGAGGAGGACCAGTGAGGCCTAAGGAAAGCGGGGGATGTAGGGCAAGTCTCAAGGGCCATAGAGAGGGCTGGAGGGCCACATTCATACACGAGACTTGAGATGCCTTGCCCCCGACATATAAAGCGGACCCCTGACCATTAGGTCCAGTCGTGGCCGACTCTGGGGTTGCGGCACTCATCTCCCTTTATTGGCCGAGGGAGCCAGCATACAGCTTCTGGGTCATGTGGCCAGCATGACTAAGCAGCTTCTGGCGAACCAGAACAGCGCATGGAAATGCCGTTTACCTTCCCGCCGGAGTGGTACCTATTTATCTACTTGCACTTTGACGTGCTTTCGAGCTTTCATATAATCAATTGTCCCGTCACATCAGCCATTGCACTTTCCAGTAAGGATGGAAGGATCAGCTTCACTTCTCTCAGTTACTTATTTTTCCAGACTTAATTTCAGTTCTCCATATTTCTACAGCAATTAGTGGGCTTCCTGCACCTCATGAAACTTAATCAGCATCTTAGTGCACATTTATTCTATTAAACACATTTTTAATGTCATTTTCACAAAATGTGCACCTTTTGCAAGCTGTCTCCACTAACATCATGCAATTTTTGTTTGTTCTTTTCACCAATGTTTGAATGTCTATGAACACTTCCCCCTCATGTATGTGTTTTTGTAAGCATCGGTTGGAGAACTGCCTAGCCAAATTTGGAAATGTGAATGTTGTAGGGTGGCCGGTTCTCATACTGTTTCAGAGTTCACCTTTAAAAGTGAATTGAATCAAGTTTCTCCTCCGTCTCTAATTTCCAAAGGAGACAGTTCACACATTCATCTGCCAGGAAACGAGTGTAGAGAAGTTGAGTGATGTCTATGCAAGTCTTCAACACACCCAACTTCAGAAGGGCTTACTGCTGTTGAAATTGTCAAAGGATTTCTTCAGACTTTGCCTTGCGACTGGTCATAGAATCGTAGAGTTGAAAGGGACCACTAAGGGCCATCTAGTCCAACCCCCTGAAATGCAGGAATCTCAGCTAAAGCATCCATGGCAGATGGCCATCCTACCTCTGCTTAAAAACCTCCAAGGAAGGAGGAAGGAGAGTCAATTTCTACTCCCTCAGAGATCCCAGTAAACCCTTATTTTCTCCTTTCCTTCTCTTAGCCTTTATAAAGATTTGTGTGCTCAGTTTCCCCTTTATGCTAAATGTGCCCATTACCTCTAAATCCCAATGAATAAAACAAAAACTGAATATTCTTAGAAAAGCATGCAGATGGTTTGAGCTGAGACCTTCTTTTTTTTAATGGGAGGCTTATTTTATTGAGGGGGGGAACAATAAATAGGAAAATTAGAAGCCGGTAATAGAGCCATAATGATGGCAAAGATTTGCAGATATTGAATACGCATAAAAGGCTTCATAAATAAAACAAAAGGTGCATATCCTTTTGGAACTGTGCGCATGGTTGAGATGTGGAAATCATACCATGTTCACGACCTTGGAGGGAGCCTTAAACTTTGACATAATTATAGATGCGCACCTTTCCAACTTGTCAGTCTAGCCTTTCCCTGAGGATTGTGCTTTTCTCAGATTCCTAGAAGAGTACAGAAGTCGATATCCAAAGATCTTCAACAGAATACACAGATGAGTTTCACACTTGCGGACGATCAATTATCTGGAAGGGGGGAGGTAACTCCAATGGCCTGCCTCTATTCTTTTAGTCAAAGGGAGAACTAGGTTAGATACTTCCTGGGCAAATTTTAATTACTAGCGACTAATTCCATATCTGAAGAATTCAACAGAAAATATCAACAATGCCATGTTTAAATATTATATATTAGCCCATGTAGTAAAAGTGAGTTTTTGTGTTTGTGTGTTTATTTTTACTACGCATGTACAATAACAATTCATTAATTGCAGTTGACTGGGCAGACCTCTAAAATGAAATCTGGCTTTCATCACTCCTCTTGTTTGTTTGTTCTTGAAGATCTTTGCACCAGCCAGGAGGCTGATGCTGAATGAAGGAATAACTTTTAGGATAGGTGAAGATGTCAATTTTGGTTTCTCTCAGTTTCTAATGTTTCCAGTTTAAAGTTCAGTTCTTGACATTTCCACCTTGTTTTGTGATTTATTTGTAAGTCCTCGTGAAAATTCATTACCATTTTAGGGCAAATTTCTCCTAATATATACATTTTTTTTGTATGCCATTTTGCCAAATACTTTTGCAAAGCATTTCTCCGTACTATAATGCATTTTTTCATGTAATTTTCACTAGCATGTGCTTTTGTAGGTATGCTGTTCCCTAGCAGATGAATTTTTGTATGTTTTGCTTGTCCAGAATGCAGATGACTTTGTTTCAGATCACAACTTGTTTCAAAAAGTGTGAATTGGGTGGGTTTGCCTTGAAATGCGAACCAACCCAAGGTTCTCCCCATCTCTGGTGACTCTAAAACTACAGCCAAAATTGTGACCTGGTGCAATGTAAAAACTAAGAATGCAATGTGATCCTTGGCAAGGGCTATCAATGCATCTACAAAACCCTGCTGTCCATGCCAGCTGGGGCAGATAAACAATTGCACAAGCGTGGAGCGATCACATGATGACGGAGGGTAGGGCTGGCTCAAGATCCAGTAGATCTCCACATTCCTCAGTCTTGTCCTACCTCTGACAAGACTCCCGCGAGCAGCAGAGCCGCCTGCAGTTTTGACAGGGAGTTCTGTGCTGATGTAATGGTGCTGACATCACTTTGCAGGCAGAATCCAACAGGCTGTGCTGAGAGAAACCTCCACCCCATGCACCCCCCACCTGAAGCCCAGCACAAAAGGGTTTGTATTGCAGCCTAAGACAACAAGCTCAAGACCATCAAATTTCAGGGTCAAGTGTCACCTCAGCAATGTCAACAAGTAAGCAGATCTCTTATGTCTTAGCAGGCAGCGGCGGAGCAAGCCAATCGGGTGCCTTGCGCCCAGAGGCGTGGCTAGCTGCCCACAGGATGGGGCCAGCTGGGGCAGGACACTCCATGGGGCCTCTGAGGAGTCTGCCTGCCTCCTCCCACTCAGCTGCCCTACTGCTGAGGGGGAGGTGGTGGGCGGACCGTTTGGGGCAACGTGGAGCCGGCAGGCGCCCAAGCCACCACATCACTCCCAGGAGAGACGCATGGCTTGGGCACGCTGCAGGCCCCACGGTGAGTGCCGCACGGCATTTTGTCACCCCCCTCAGTCGTGACACCCGGGGCAGACCACCCCCACCACACACCCCTTCCTCCACCCCTGTTAGCAGGGCTTTTGTTCAGCCGGAACGCTCCAGAACTCCATTCCAGCACCTCTCAGGTGGACGCCATTGCCATTAAAAGGGCAAGAGAGGCGTTCATGGTGAGTTCTGGCACCTCTTTTTCTTGAAAAATAGCCCTGTGTCTTAGCCTCCATTCCCATTCCGTTGCCCATCTGTAATGCGGGTATAACATTATATGAGTGTTTTAACATTTTCGAAACATTTTGAGTGATTTGTAAGAGAACATTATTCACAGTCATTTATTTGTTCATTTCGTAGGCCACTCCAAAAATGGGGGCGCTGGTCGGCAGCAAGTAAATAATTTAAAGAAATAATACGGGCACCGTAAGGATTGTTAAGAAAAGGTGTGTGAAATGCTTTGTGGATTTGAGATCTGCTCTGCTAATGCGCGGTTTGTCAAGCAACTTGCCTCGTCCTCATTGAGCAACTCATAAATACCCTCTTCAGTAAAGCCTTTCCTGAACCACCGGATACCTCCATAACTCAAGTGGAAAACCCAGGGGTCATTATTAGAGGATAAGGTTGTGTAAAAAGTCTAGGAAACTCGAACCAAGAAACTTTTCCTCCCCAAAACTCATTTGAAAGTTGTGGAGGCTTGCTAAACCGGAAAGGGCTCATCATATCAGATATAACTCAAATCCATCCAACTTGTCCTTTGTTGTGGTGTATTTAGTTGGATACGGTAAGTTCTGAAACTTGGACCACCTGAGGCTGGAAGATATTAGATTTTGGAAGCATCAAAAAGTTTTCAAGATCGGTTTACTTTTGTGCAGAGAATCTGAGAATGCCTGAGGCTTGGACAATATGAGCTGTTTAACTAAAAGTTTTAATTCGAATATATCATTCAGTTATGACCAGCTTAAAGGCACAGGCGTGCTAAAACCTTTTTCATTTAATATAACAGCTAATCTAAGACTTTTATACTAAATTACAGGTTCGTCTTAAATACCCTGCAGCACATGAATACATATGTATGGCTCCATGTCATGGTAAGTTGTTGGAGTTTTTTGAACATGCATAAAATTATTTAAAGCACTTGTTTATTTATTTGGCTGATTTATTTATTTGTCTGAAACATTTATAGGCTGCCTCTTCATCGAAGAGCTTCGAGGCAGCTTACAACACTTTTTTTAAAAAAAATCAATTTAAAAGTATTAACAATATAAAAGCAGCCATGAGGAAATGCTAATGCAGACAAAATAAAATTTCAGGTGCAGTAAATAAAACAAGTTCCCTTCAAAAGTTTATCAAAAAGACCACATTTTAGCTGCTATCCCAGGAACTAAAGTCTAAAAGATTTTGCCTTTTGATTCACCTGCTGAACAGCAGGATCAGTTTATGCACAGTGATGATTGATTGATTGATTGATTGATTGATTGACTGCGGAAATGGATAAAAGCCCCCCATCCAAACAATGACTATCATCAGTGCAGGTAAGGAGGGGAAAGTAATTTTAATTTGTATCATCTACAATACTGTCTTATTTATTTTATAGTACAGTACATTGACTATTGCTTTCATTTTATGGATCAATGGTCTCATTAAATAGTAAAATTCATGTGAAATGGCTGTTTCAGGGGTTGTTTTTAGAAGTCTGGAACAGATTAATCCGTTTTGCATTACTTTCTGTGGGAAAGCGTGCCTTGGAACAGACTCCTGGAACGAATTGTGTTTGAGAACCAAGGTACCACTGTACCTCACATCAGTTGACAGTCCACCACCTGTACTAGGAACTGAATGTAGGATCTGAACACCCTTCAAAGGCAGCCTCCTCTACAATCCACTGCAGTAACCTAACATGGATGAAATATGGGCATGAAGGATCATGGCCCATTTTCTGTGTCCAGTTTCTCTGGGTAAGAATACATCCAATACACATCCAAACCTGCTGAGCAGAGCTCCTAGATGCCACCATCTGAGCATCTTGGAGAACAACCAGATCCAGCGTCACTTCCAAGCTTCGTTCCTGGGTCTTCACGGAGAGTGCGACTCTATGTAAGTCGAACAGGTAACACCTACAGCCAGATCACCAGAACAACTGACAGCAGCTTTGTCTTGTCTTGATTGTATCTCTGCTTGTTTGCCTACATCCAGTTCGCCATCAATCCCAGATACCAGTTCAGAAGCAGATGAAAATGAGAAAAACAGATGGCACTGCAGCTCAAATCTCCAGACGACTTCACCATTTCATGTAAATATTAAACAACTTAGCAATCTATATACGGTTAAGGGGACATTAAGGGTGAGTTTCTACAAGCAATTTTTTAATGGAATTAGACCACAACCTTACCCGTCCCTGTAATTCGTCCCTGAGTATAAATGTTCCCCCAAGTGGTAAAACCATATAAAATGAATCAATTGATTTATTGCCCTGTAGAAAATGTATTTAATTTTAATTTATTTAAAGCATTTTTCCAAGCTCATGTTAAAAAAAAAAAAAAGCCGACCATGGTAGCTTGAAAATGTCAATAGTAAGAGTGTCCTCGCCTTGCCTTCAGGCTTACAATCCGAATGACGCAAATCGAAATGAAGGGAAAGGGGCTGGGAGTTAGGACTGAAGCCACAGTATGTGTTTTTCTCCCGCTCTGTGCAATGTAATGATTTCAGGGAATGGGTAAGTCATTCCCTGGGTGGTTGGGTGTACACACAAACACACACAAACACACCTTTCTGTGCTACCCACAATTTCTGACTGGTTTTTGTAGCCAGTCTTTATTTGTAGTCATCTCTCCTGCAAATCGTCTGCCACACATACAGGATTCAAGTGAGGGCAGAAACCAATCTCTTACTTTGCACCAAATTAGAGGGAACACTCCGAAGCATGTTGGGGGGAGAGTCCCCTTCTATTATTAATTAACCAATTAATTTGATGTACACCCCACCCTTTCTCCTAAAGGAGTCCAGGGCAGAAAACCCAACAGTAGTTAAAAAAGAAAAGTTTTTAAAGCATTCTACAATAGTTAAAAGTGGGACGCGGGTGGCATTGTGCGTAAAACCTCAGCACCTAGGACTTGCCGATCGCATGGTTGGCGGTTCGAATCCCCGCGGCGGCGTGAGCTCCCGTCGTTCGGTCCCAGCTCCTGCCCACCTAGCAGTTCGAAAGCACCCCTAAGTGCAAGTAGATAAATAGGTACCGCTTTATTGCGGGAAGGTAAACGGCGTTTCCGTGTGCTGCGCTGGTGCTGGCTCGCCAGAGCAGCTTCGTCACGCTGGCCATGTGACCCGGAAGTGTGTCCAGACAGCGCTGGCCCCTGGCCTCTTAAGTGAGATGGGCGCACAACTCTAGAGTCGGACACAACTGGCCCGTACGGGCAAGGGTACCTTTACCTTTTTACAATAGTTAAAAGCATTCTCTCGGCAATGATTTCCAGGTTGCAGGAACAGTATCTTTCAGCCACCAAATGCCCAGGAATGTTTTTAGCTTCCTCCTGAAAGTCACTGATGAAGGGAGTCAGATCACCTCACCAGGGAGTGCATTCTGCCACTGAGAAGGCCACGTTGTGGACCAAAGGTCAACTGGGAAGCCTTCAGTGGTGGCAACACCAACAAACATTCACATGCCAATGATAGAGTCTGAGACAGTTGATATCGGGGAAGTGTTTATCCACAAATGTGGTCAACGGGAAGCAGGCACGGCAGCTCTACAGGGCGGTGGTGTCATCAACCCACTCAATATTCCTTAGCAGGGGGTTCAGACCCCCTCCTTATTGAGGGGGCAGAGGAGGCCAAATAGCTGAGCCGAGCATGGTGCAGGCTCCTTCTGAACATGAGAGAAGGAGCCGCAGCTATTGAAGCCGGGCAAGGCCTCCTCCCGATGACTCCTGATGCCTCCTCCTGAAGCCACATGTAAGACACATGTCACATACATGACGCCACAGGCATTTGACGTGCCACTCTTGAAGGTGGTACCTCTAACAGGAAGAGTTTTCTAGACACTCCTGGAAAGTAGGAGAGCATTTTTGAGGGTGCTGGTGATGCCACGTTATGAACAATGCGTTGTTCCTCTCACACTAACTGCTCTCATTACCTCAGGCCTGAAACCACATAAAGAATGTGGTAGTTGTACATCTTAGTTGCAGCTACACAAGCATAGATTGTATCATTTAATGTCACTGTTAACAAACAAACAAGAAAGCTAATTAAGCATTCTGAGTCACTTGCCTCATAATTATTTTGTCATTTATTGGACTTCCTGTAGACACAAAACAATTTCTACCCTATATGCACATTTAATCCTATTGATCAAAACATCATGTAGGGAGTGATTGTACTTAGAATTCCATATTAAAGGCAGCAGTTTTAATAACCTGTCAGATTTGCTGGAAGAAATACAGATTTTGAACGAGCTATTGAGTTTCAGCAAATACCAGTAGGAGATTTCTTAAGAAAATCAATTACGGTAAGGTTTAAAATACTTGACAAATAGACAAGTAATTCCAGGTCTAATGTTGTCTAAATTAAAATTTTCCAATGTATCTATTAACAAGTACATGCTAAAGTCCATTGTTTAGTCTGACTTCGGGGGAGATCCTATGTAATATGACCAGCCATCAGAATTGCATGTTCTCCTAAGAGCTGCTTCATGCATCACAAGTTTAGCAGCACATGTAAATGTGGTGGAGAGCTACACCAAGTCCACCTCACAGACATGCTCATCCCAAGAAAACTACATGTGAGTCCCATGGTGAATAATGGGAGCTTAAGTTAACTGTAACAAGCTCATCGCATTGATTTCAATGAGACTTAAATTTAGCTCACTCTGGACAGTAGACGATGGTCCTCATCCAACAGTAGATGTGCTTGTATGTAAGGTAAAAAAAGGTAAAGGACCCTTAGAAAATTAAGTTCAGTCAAAGGCAACTATGGGGTTGCATTGCTCATCTCGCTTTCAGGTCGAGAGAGCCGGCATTTGTCCACAGACAGCTTTCCCGGTCATGTGGCTAGCATGACTAAGCCACTTCTGGTGCATCGGAAAACCATGTTGAAAGCCAGAGAGCATAGAAATGCCGCCTACCTTCCCACCACAGTGGTACCTGTTTATCTACTTGCACTGGCGTGCTTTCCAATTGCTAGGTTGGCAGGAGCTGGGACAGAACAATGGGAGCTCACTCTGTCGTGGGGATTCAAACCGCCAACCTTCCGATCGGCAAGCCCAAGAGGGTCAGTGGTTTAGACCACAATGCCACCCACGTCTAGCTTGTATGTGTATAACCCCTGCAAAACCCCTGATCATAAAGATGGAGGAATGAGCCTTGTCCTTTCTCTCCCCTTCCCAAACAAATATCTGGTCTGACCAACCCTGTGCACACATATGGTTCCAGCTGCTGAATTGGACCAGGAACGACCGTATTTTTCTCTCTATAACACTCACATTTTTTCTCCTAAAAAGTAAGGGGAATGTCTGTGCATGTTATTAAGCGAATGTGTGGTCCCTGGAGCCGACTGGCCCGAGTGCAGAGGCAAAAATCAGGCAAAAATCAGATCGTGCGCTGCAGAGAAGAGGCTGCTGCTTTCCTGCATTCTGCCTCAGGGTCTTATTGCCCACCCTCTTCTGTTTTAGGTTGCTTTGTTTACAAAGTTGTAAAAGCTGTTTTCAGTTGCTGTGGTTACAAAGCACAGATCCACATGGATTCTCAATTTTTGCATTGGCCTACCCCAAACTCACCGTCAAATCACATGTCTGTGGCCACAGCATGAAGCACCAAAATGATACATCCACTGTTTCATTCAGAATTTTTTTTCTTGTTTTCCTCCTCTAAAAACTATGTGCATGTTATGGTCAGGTGCATGTTATAGAGCGAAAAATACGGTATGTTTGCAGCGCTTGTCAATGTACACAGATCTTGAGGCATATGGGCCCCTAGCTGGATGCAGGCAGCTATGTTTTTATGGGCACACATACAAAGTTTTTGTTGCACATGTGCAAAGCTGCTCTTACGTTACAGAAGGATTTGATTCATATTTCGCAGCAGCTCAACCATAGACCAGTGAAGAGAAACATGTAATGCACTTTTAATAAAATATGAAATTGCCTATTAAAAATTTCAAAATGGCTTCTCCATATCTGAGATTATTTATGGCAGAAATAAAAGAAAACTCTCAAAATGTGTTGTAATTTAATATTCCACTATATTTGTATGTAAAATAGCAAATGGAGAACACACACTTAGGCTTCTATAGCTGACATTTATTATCTATACATCATTCTGTAATTTAGAAACATGAATCTCAGTAATTTTCTAGTCATTCAGTGCAACAGTTTCCATTTTATATTTATCCTGCTCAATTAAAAGGATTCCAAGTGTTAAGAGATTGTAGTTTGGGCTTGTGATTTTCCTTCTACTGTTCTAAAAATACATATTTGGCTATAAAGAGCGCTATTATTCTGTGACAATACTGTATTATTTCAGATCAGTGGCCCATCTGTTCCAGTTTTTTTGAGTGATCTCAAAAAAGGCTCCAATGACATTTTTTCCAGTTTTTCAGCTCAAAAATTCAACTAAGTTTTACTTAGATCAGAGCCGTTGAAATTAATGAACATGACTTAGATAGGTCCATTAATTTCAATAGATCTATTCTGAGTAAAATTTAGGTGAGTGCTACCCAGTGACCTCTTGAAAAACACTATGACTTGGCTCTGTGGAAGCAAAAGCATTGAGTGGAAAGTACGTCTACTCACACAAAAGAAGTTCCCATTTATGCTCATTTCTGCTCACACACAGGAGGTCTTCAATATATATTTTAATCACATGTCATATTCCACATCATTCTGGGAGATCCACAGACACTCAGGAGCCACTTTTGATGGGGCACAAGGTGCTGAGGAAGGAAGTGGCTGGCAGGAAAGTCCCCTTACTTTGGGTCTAAAGCTATTTAAAATAAATGCTTAGGTTTTTCAAAATCTAATTTGCCATCATTGTTTCTTTGGGCAGTGGAATAGCATGGTGAATGAGATGACTTGATGAAACTACATAGCCAATACTATGATCCCAACCTCGGACAACGTGGTGAATGGAATGAGATTACCATGCTAAAAAACTCAGTCACCTTGCCAGCACCAACACAACCAAAATCATTGATAATACCTAATAGAATATCTTAAGTTTATGTACTGTATCTTATCTCTGTTCCTAGACTTGCATTTCTGGTTTGGCTTTTTCACCTGAATTCTTTGCTCTGTAACATGTATGATGCAAAAGTATCAGCATTATGGCAATGGGAATTTGGGGGTACCACCCTGTGTGTGTGTGTGTGTGTGTGTGTGGACATTGAAAGTGTGTATTCATATGACCGCTTGCCAGTATGAGAAAGAAAGTGAATTCTTTTTTACTGTTATTAGTGTGCTGGGGAAGAGAAAGGTTGGACTTTCAGCCCGATACACTGATTTTTCTTTTAAATGGAAGGTTAGTCACTCTAGGGCAGACAGATTTTTCTGAAGTTTGGAATGAGTGAATAGGTTAATTCTGTTTTCTTCATGTTTCTCATTTTCCCAGTCCGATGTTAAGTTCACAACATTTCCACATCAGGGTTTTTTGTATTTAAAAAAAGTCACCATGAAAACCCAACCGCATTTTAGTATGAATCTGTCCCGATACACACACTTTTACAAAGCAATTTTTTCCATAATGTAATGCATATTTGAATGCCATTTCTGCGATAGTATGCATTTCTGGGCACACTTTACCCTAACAGATGAACATTACTTGACTGGAGAACTGCGCTGCAAAATTTTGAGAAGGATTTCAAAGAACGGCTGTGCTTTGGTTTATGGATCGTTTGGAAAAGTCTGAGGTAGGTAGGTTGATTTTTAAATGTGAATTGAATGCAATCTCTTCCCCCAACCCTATAAAGAGTACATGGGTCTCTTGCTTTTCTCTTCTTTTAATTTTATAGTGCAGTATGTTTGGATGTCATCAGCCTTCTCTCTCTCACTCCCCACCCCCCCCAAAAAATATACGTTGTATGTCCATTCCTTCTGGTTTCTTTTCCTTTGGGGATACCCAGGACTCTTCACTGACAGATCTTAGTATCCAAGGGGGAGTATACTAGCAGGATTAAAGGCGAGACCCTCAATTAGACTATCTCTGATTTCTTCAGATGTTTTTTCTAATCTTTTAATATGGGATTAAAGTGTGCTAAGACCATAGATTGCTTTTATTCTTAACGAAGATCTTCCCAGCTGCATTTCAAGATTGTCAATATCCTTTTTCTTATTCCTTCAAAAGTGAGCAGTCCCCCCCTCCCCCTTTTTTTCTTAATTTGGAGTAATTCCCATCTAGACGATGATGATAATGAACTTTTGTCAGTTCCTATGTGACGCCAAGTACAAAATAGCTTGATAAGAAATGTGAAGCGTACATGCGTTTCTCAATGATCTGCAGGAAACTCCCTGAGAGACTGATTAGCCTGTGCTTGTCACATATAAGGGGAGATAATTATGGAGGCTTAACGGAATATGTGGTGGATCTTTGGAGAAGAGATGACTAGATCTAAGACCGTCTCATAGATCAGCTCTAATTTTTAATATTACACATAATGTGAGTGGGGGTTTTTGAGCTTTACCCCAGAGCCTTCGTACCAGTGACTCTTCCAACAGAATGACATCAAATTATTATTTTTTTCCAGAGTGTAAAAACAGTTCAAACGAGATTATCTTTAATTAGTATAATCTTATGAACCCATTGTGAAAACTTTATTGCACCCATGCTGGCTCTCCCTTATTCCTTATTTAGAGACTCTTTATTACATTCCACATTGCAATCCTTAATGGTGGAAATGAATACATGGCACTTAAAAGTAATATTGTTGTATTTCTTTATTTAATAAACACCATCTTCTTCTTTAATTCCAGGGCTAATAGCTTTCTTTTATGGATCACGGTATATTAGATAGCAATACCTTATAGATTTTTCCTCCCCCTTTTGTTTTTAAGTAAAGATTGTGGTGCTCCCTTAAGTCATTTATATGCATTAAAAATGGATTTGTTAAGCAAGCCCAGTAATATATTAAGTGCATTTAATAAATACTTGGACAATAATTACTACATTTCATATTATTAGCAGCAGGTTGGTTATGAAGGGGTAAACTGTTGCAAATCAGGAATCCTTCTCACCAAGCTCTCTCGTAAGTACCAACTCCTCTCTCACTGACCCATCTTGATTTCTTGCTTCTCCCTTGTTTATCTGACACGGTGTCTAACCGCAACACAACTACTTACAGGCACAAGCACACTAAGTCCTCCTTCCTGCTTCTTGTGTACCTTTCATCTTCTTCTATCTCATTTTCCACCATCCTCCTTACCTGGATGAAAAGAGAAATGTGGATTTTCAGTAACTGCAGAAGCCCAAGGCTGTGATATAAGGGAGGTAAATAAAATGAGCACAATACACGTCAAGGTGTTTGTGTTCATTTTATTTATAATCGCCTTCCTTCTTTTTATTGTTGAAGAAGAAGAAGAAGAAGAAGAAGAAGAAGAAGAAGAAGAAGAAGAAGAAGAAGAAGAATTTGCTATTTATATATATCTATACTTAAAGGGTACACTATTGCAGGTCATGAGTAATTAACCCCAAGCTGCCCCCCCAACTTTCAACGTCTGAAGCCACTAGGGCAGGCATGGAGCATCTTAACCTAAACCAGGGATGGGCAACTTCCCCATTGTCAACAACTACTCTATTCACCAAACAGAATTCAGAAACGAGAACAATCAAAACTCTTCGCAGATGGTTAGGATTTATAATAAAGTTGGCGACAACCAATAATAAAGGGATTTAGGTGGCACAACATCATCAATGGCAGGAGGAAAGGTGTCATGGAACAAGTGTGTTTCTTGAAAGAATCCCTCAGGATACAGATTGGCAATGTAGTCTTTTGCCTTTATGGGGTAGACATGAAATAACAATATAATGACAATTATATGGAGGAGATCTAATAAATGTATTTAGTAAATGTATATCTCACGTACACAGATACACACCTACATTTCCACACATACGGATAACCTCATTCCAGCAAGCCAAATGCCTTCTTAAAAACGGTTTCCCTTTAAATAACAGTTGTTGGCTTGTGGTGAACTGTGCAATAAAATAGTGGCTTATAGCCACCCAAATTCTGCTCCGTCTTCCAGCTCTTTATTTCCTGGAAAGGTCATGGGATCTACTAATCTCTTTCCTTTCTTTCTGTCTCTTTCTTTCCACGGTGCAGCCCAGCAGGGGTTCCCTCTGCCACCCTTCACATCTTGCCTCATTACTGTTTGTACAGTTGTGCACAGAGCATGGACACATTCTCAATAGCGCATGGTGGACCCGTGCTGTGACATATTTAAGCGCAGACAGAACTTTCCTTGGGGTGATCTGTATGTTGCTAAGATGATGCCATGCTTTCGTTTGTAAATTCTCCTTGACTTCTCTCTCTCTCTCTCGCTCTCTCTCTCTCACACATACACACACATACAGAGAGAGAGAGAGAGAGAGAGAGAGAGAGAGAGAGAGAAATATGTGATCCTTCATCTGCCTCCCACAGCAGAGAATTTGAAATAATCACTAAAGCAGCAGGGTCCATTTTGGCAAGAGGGCATCTTGCTGGCTCGCTCTCTGAAGCCTCTTTAACCTCTAATTGCAACAAAAATTTGAAGACTATCTATTTCAAAGGAGTTGAAGGAGTCTCATTTACGATCATTTCTGGGCTCTAATCGTGTAACTAAATAAGGGCAGGGTAATGCATTCTCTACGGTGACCTGAGGATAAGTCCGATTTAGTGAGACACATTTCATTGATTTTTAGCTATGAGTTGCAATTGATCCTTTTACCGTTAGCTACTCTCATGAAGCTACCCGGTGTCACTAATCCTCTTAAGCAGCAGTCAAGGAATTGAGATAAAAGCTGTCAAGTCACTTTGGTTCAGATAACAGTTTTCTGAAGTTGGGGGTTCTTCATTCCTTAGATATAAATGCACCATCTGTGCAGCTTTTCTCTCTCCCCCCACGAATGTGTGTTTAGGAAACAAAGGATATGTCAGTGTTGTTGCACATTATCTTGTGGGTCATTCATAAACTCCTTTGATTGGGGTGTAGCCCAACAGAAGTCAATGGGATAACATTAGTTTAGCTATCCCTGTGAAGCGTGCCCCTCCAAAAAGTGAAATGGCTATTTCTTTCAGAGTCCTTGCCTTCAGTTCTCATAGAGCCCTGACGCAACAGAGAGCGATATCACAAGACCAAATGCCCCTTTATTAACAGTTTCGGTTTTGTTAATTTTTTTAAACACCAACGTAGTTCAACATGTGTACATGTCATCCTAATAAACAAAGCAGTGTGTTTCAGTTCTTTCTTCATAGATTCCTTCCCCTTTCACTCTTCTAATCTAATGTTATACATCTTCATTCATATATTCCAAACACATTACTTTAAAATATTCTGGAAATATTAGATTAGACTACATCAAGCATTCATGTGCACCCACTTGTAGACAGTCTAAAAAGAGACACTCCTCTCTGCCCATCTTGATCTTTCCATCTGCTGCTGCTTTTCCTTATATTTGAACAACGTTTCCCTGTGACTCCTTCAAAATTCTTGCATGCTACCTCTACTTCTGCATCCCAGTCCAGAGTGAAAATACTTGCCCACAAATGCCCAAGCCTGTGTTTGCTGCTGATGAGCAACATGGCAAAGGGGACACTGACAAACTGGAACGTGTCCAGAGGAGGGCAACCAAAATGGTCAAAGGCCTGGAAACGATGCCTTATGAGGAACGGCTAAGGGAGCTGGGCATGTTTAGCCTGGAGAAGAGGAGGTTAAGGGGTGATATGATAGCCATGTTCAAATATATAAAAGGATGTCACATAGAGGTGGGAGAAAGGTTGTTTTCTGCTGCTCCAGAGAAGCGGACACGGAGCAATGGATCCAAACTACAAGAAAGAAGATTCCACCTAAACATTAGGAAGAACTTCCTGACAGTAAGTGCTGTTTGACAGTGGAATTTGCTGCCAAGGAGTGTGGTGGAGTCTCCTTCTTTGGAGGTCTTTAAGCAGAGGCTTGACAACCATATGTCAGGAGTGCTCTGATGGTGTTTCCTGCTTGGCAGGGGGTTGGACTTGATGGCCCTTGTGGTCTCTTCCGATTCTATGATTCTATGATTCTATGATTCTATGACATTTCAAAGAGAGAAGTTGGGGTGCTTCACCCTCCACCTCCTGTTCTTTTCCCACTGCAGCCCTTCTGCTTAGTCACTATCCCTCCTAAATCACATCTAGGCGTGTCAGCTATGACAGAGCAGCTTGTAAGGGGATGTGAAAAAGAAAATTAGGGAGAGGGTAAAGCACACCTCTCTTCCCACCATTTTGTATGGTGGCAGCAACCACAGGGTGGCAAAAATCTGTATTTGCCGCTAATTATTTAGTTTCCTGTTATTAAAACTAAAATCAATGTAGCTGCTACAAGTTTAAAGTTGCCCTTTTGTTCCCATAAAATTTTCTTTTAGCCAGTGCTTCTCTCTTAGGTCACACCTACACCACACATTTAAAGCACATGTCATCTATGTTTCTTATACCTTTCCATCTTCTTCTTTTTTTATAAAAAAAAGCACTCACAGTTAACTAGGACCACCTCGATTCAGTTTCTAATGCTAAGTTGATAGGCCAGCCTAGTACATCTCGCAAACCAGTGATTATAAGCTTTTTCCAGTACACATGTCAGAGAATTCCAACAGAAATGGAAATGGCAGTGGAAGTTGATGATGTTCACTTATTTATCCCATGTTAAGAATAGAAATCAGTCCAAGAAATACAATGGCAGGCACTGTTGCAGTTGCTTTCAGTCTGCAAACGATATGTGATTTATGATTCTCTTCCCCCATTTGCACAACATTTCATTTGCATCAAAGTGAATGGGGTGGGATAATGTAATGACAACACCATTTACATAATTAATTATGCAAATCACACAAGTTACATAATTTCACAGCAGCGGACAGTGAGATGAATAACATAGTTTTTGGCAGATGATGAATTGCAACAGAATGGAAACAGTCCTGCATGTGACAAATAGAGGCCGGAATTGAAAGTGATGCCTTCTGATGTCCCTACGTGTGAGCCAATGAAACTTCTGTGTCTCCATGCATGCAAGGCCTTCAAATCTTCTGCTGTCTCTCTGGCATGGATTCTGTCTCTTCCTTTCCCTTGTACACACCTCTGCACCCCAGCTGTCTGCTGCTAAGAAACATTCAAAAGCCAGCTCAAGGGGTGTTCAATATATCACTTTTCCCACGTTCAGTGTTCAGTGGAATAAATTGTTTAAAGAGAGAGAGAGATCTGAGCTGCTAATACACAACTCTCTTAACATAATATAAAATGTGTCATTTCAATATGGATATAAAACTATCAGGCTGGATCATGTCAAGAATCTTAGTGCTAATGGCTTTATACTCCTCACTGACACGCTCCATCCTTTGCAGCTGTAATGATGTAGTCTGTCAAGGCAGGATATTGAGCCTTTCATTTGACACAATACATCTTGCCAAGTCTTCTTTTGGAGTTTTCTTCAAATCCGTAGCACCATTGCATAATACGGAGTTAATCAGCGCATCTTTGACACAACGTACCATGTCTTTGCATAGTAATGACTGTTAGGAAAACAAGCAATGCTTAGTAAAAAGGAGGGGGGCGGAACTGGTACGAGAATGCTGTGGTGTATACACAACCAGTCAAAATTCTGAAGGTCTGCGTCTGTATTACATAAGCCAAAGAGAAGAACACATAGGACCTGCAAATAGAAAAAAGTTGCAGTCTGGAGTCCTCGTACTCAGGGCTCTAGTCAACCAGCCATGCTCTGTGGCCCAAAGCACCCACAGCCAAGGAAGGCACTCATCTGATGGTTAATTCTTTATTGGCAAAAGTGTCAACTTACAGCAACTCCCATGGCACCGAGTTTCGAGTTTGGATTTGATATCCCGCTTTATCACTACCCTAAGGAGTCTCAAAGCGGCTAACATTCTCCTTTCCCTTCCTCCCTCACAATAAACACTCTGTGAGGTGAGTGGGGCTGAGAGACTTCAAAGAAATGTGACTAGCCCAAGGTCACCCAGCAGCTGCATGTGGAGGAGCGGGGAATCGAACCCAGTTCACCAGATTACGAGTCTACCTATCTTAACCACTACACCACACTGGCTCTCAGATACACCACAGATCCACATGCTTCTAGCCTCTAAGCAGCTGTCCCCAGGTCTGTGTCTGACAAAGGAGTTGCAGCAACAGTCGGACTGTGCCCCCCTCCCCAGTTTATGTACTCCCACCTGCACACAACCTGAGGCTTCAAAGGAGCTTAAGGCTACAGAAGAAGGTGCTGCCACTTTAACTGGCCAAGAGCGGATGGAGTTCCAGTCAATGGCTAGCTTGCCCTGCTATAAAAACTCAGCCACTTGCTCCAGGACATTGCTGAAACAACATGGATGTTTGACCTCAGCCGTGGGAGAAGTACTATCCGTGGTCCTGAGCCCACCTTTTGAACTCTCTCCAAGGTGCTGACTTTCGCCCTGCCCTGACTAGAGAATCAGGAGCTACTGGATTCCCCTTGCTTGGATCATATCCAATAATGGGCCCTCAAAGAAGCTCCCAGTCAAACCACAATCCAATATGAACAAGGCAAAAATGTAGAATGTCTTGTTCCAAACGAATATATATCAAAAACAGCCGCAAAAAATGTAGGTGGTGGAAAAGAAAAAAATGTGCTGCAGTTCCTCTCAAACAGAAAACTTTTGAAACTTTCCTAAAAGCATGGAGCCTAAGAGAGGCATCTTGGGTAATGAAATTACACACATCTGACAGAGGGCCTTCTTAGTAGTGGCGCCCGCCCTGTGGAACGCCCTCCCTTCAGATGTGAAGGAAATAAGCAGCTATCTTCTCTTTAAAAGACATCTGAAGGCAGCCCTGTTTAGGGAAGTTTTTAATATTTAATGCTGTATTGTTTTTAACACTTGATTGGAAGCCACCCAAAGTGGCTGGAGAAACTTAGCCAGATGGGTGGGGTATAAATAAATGATGATGGTGATGATGATGATGATGATGAAGACAGTAAAGGTCTTTCTCATACTGACAGGATTATATACCATATTCAATAGCCTAATAGATGAATTCCCAGGTTGGGGACTCATCCTATGTACTAATGCATAGTTCTGGCCAAAAGCGGGAAATGCACGGAACCATCAACACCAACCACAGAAGACTACCCAGAGGTGGACTGGTATTTTCAGTCAATCAATTTTCAGCTATTTGTGGGGCAAAGGACAAAAAAGAAATGGGAAGTGTGCCTGGTGCCCTTAATCAGAGGCATCTAGGGTTGCCATAGTTCAAAAAGTAAAACTAGGACACCCCAAATGTTATTGAGCTCTTTTAAAGAAGACCTCCCAAATTGTTGAGCTTTCTTTTAGGAAACCACCAAGATTGTGGAGCTTTTTTATTTTATTTTTTTTAGGAAATCCTGGTAATAATCCAGACATATAGCAGCCCAAATTTAAAG